AGGTACCGCCACCAGAGGAACAAGTCATTGGTAACTGCTTTCTGTCATGTGTTGCTTTTGGAAGTTTTTAAGATAGTAATGTCTAGAAAAAAATAATAAATCGGAGTGTTTTGGTGTTGTAAGAGTAGGTGTATTTTGTATTCTAACTCAGAGTGTCAGTTGTTTGCTTAGTATTTGTACACCTTAAACTAAGTAATTGCTGCAGTGCAAAATGGCATGGATTTTAACTCTCAGAGAATTTTTTTTCAACAAGGATACTTTGACATCAGTTCATGTCACAATTACACAATGTACACAGTTTTCAAATTGTTGCTGTATCCTGGTATGCAAGGAAAATCACAAACCCTGGGCTTATCATTAGTGTAGTTGTCCAGAGGGAACTGATTAGGGAGAAGAGCTGACAAAACTTGAGAAAGATATTAATCAAATACAGAATTATTAATTTCTTGTATTACCATATCAACCAATGACTTTCAAAAACCTAATGCCAAAGTCATTTGATCAAAGGAGATGTATTATTGGCACTAGACCTAGAGAAAGCTAAAGCAAAGAGGTGAAATTTAATATGGCTGATTCGTGCCTTTCAGAAAATTGTTGACCTAGTGTATCAGGTAATCTGTCAAGGGAATGCTTTGAAGAGATGGGGATTTTTTCATCATAGAGTATAAAGATATAGTATAAACAATTTAATATGTGTGGTTTGAGTATATTACAGAAGTGTATTTGACTCTGGGAGCCATATACAGTCTGTGAACATTTAGTATTGACTGATGGGCTATTGCGTAGTTTATAAGAATCCAATAACACAGAAATATATGATATTCCATGATTTACATACTTGATTTTGATACCCGACAAAAATTTACATATTTAAAAATAATTTTTAATCCATATTCATACGTGATGTTTTTTCAGTTGCCTGTAAATCATTATCATCATGTGGGTTATCCATTTTTTGTACTATTTTTATATGTTTATATATTTAATGTTATATGCAAAACTCCATATTTTACAGAACCCGAGCTTGCCGCAGCCACCAAGGAGGTAGCCAAGAGTCTGGGTGGAGATGTAGAAGCCACTGAATCTGAGCTGTTGTCCACCTTAAGATCTCATGCCTTAGATACCTCTGCTAGTGAGAAGCCATCAGCAAATTTAAGGTAATTTTAAGTGTACAGTAAGTCCCCAACTTAACCCATTCGCCACATATGGCAAGAATAGATGCCATACCCACTTTGATACATGTTTATTTATTGTATTTACACATAGATGGCTCCACAAGTTTTTAATCACCAAATAGCCAGTTATCAGGAACTACCTATTTCACCTGTTTACCCTTTTCCTTCACTTTAGGAAAGGGTTTTTTGTATCATTTCATTGTCAAAAATATTCTAATGACAATTCAATAAGCATAACATCAATAACAATAATAACAGTATCGAAAGCAATGGTATTAGTTTTCCCGCCAGTTCAATGAATGGGAAAATCAGGGTCGGTAACTAGGGCCTACTGATAGACTCCTTGCCGGCTGAGCACACGTGGAGCCATCTGTAGGTAACAAAATTCACTAAAAACTACAGGGGACAGAACATAAATCTGTGGCGATTGGGTTAAGAACATAATGGGAACCGAGAGGCTGTTTGTAAGTTGATTTGTTTGTATGTCGAAAGTCGGGTCTCCATTACCTTTTTTCCCATTGTTTTAAAGTTTTGTTTACATTAAGAATACCTGTAAATAAATCCCAATAAGTACGACATCCCATATACAGTACCAGACTCTTGAACTATATTTGTGCCCGGGAAATTTGAAGTTTTCTAGCATCTTTCAAACAATTTTTTGGACTTTAGTACTTAAAAAATTTGTTTGTATGTATGGAATGTTCATAAGTAGAATGTTCTTAAGTAGGAGACTATCTGTATTTGAATAGTTAACTCGGTCACAAACTTCCCTAGGAAAGCGTGAGTGTGACTGAGGTTAAGTATGGGTTTGGTGGTATCAGTTCGTGTTGTGATTTTGTTTTTCCTGATGAGATTTCTTGTTTACTGTTTGCTGTTGTGTTGTTTATTGTGAATTATACGGCTCTTTTTCAAAGAATATAATTATTAGTGTTGTTACAATTGTTGCTCTAGGGGTGGAAGGTGGCCATCAACATGTACTTATCAATGCATAAACACTATAAAATGTTATTAAGATAAAAGGTAATGCTTAACCCAATGACGCCGGGTGTACAAAAGGAAAATAAAACTCTACGCTCTGGCAAACAAAGGCGGCGCGCCGACTTTGAGCGCCGGAGTACGGGGCGTCAGCCCGAATCACTGGCTAGCCGCGCTTTGGCGCGCCGCCGGCTGGTTTGGCCGCACGCCACCTTTCGAGCAATTTGTTTACACGCGTATCGCCGTCACCCGGCGGCAAGGGGTTAACAATAAGATTTCAAGGCTTAATCCCTTGGTGCTGGGTATGACGTGTACGTACATGCTATGCCCACAGTGAGTACTTGTTTGATTGTTTTTACGCATAGATGGCAACACTTGTACTAACTCCCCAATGAGCCAGTTACGAGCACCGCACTTCTCGCCCGTTTACCCGTGTCTTTGATTTACAAAATATTCTACGTAATCTTATTTTGCTGTTACTAATGTTAAAAAAAATTATAAAAATTATAATGTTTATGATAAAAATAACACCATCGATTTTCATAGCACTAGTGAAAAATAAGTTTTTCCCACCATTTAAATCAGGCGCTAGCAGAGCCATCTATCAGCAGACATTTCACGAAAAACATAGAAAGTGGGCACAATATCTTCCCCATTTTTTGTTCATTTTCCCCGGCACCATTGGGTTAATGTTTTCTCTCCTACTGAACCTTCAAAATCTGTTTGATAAAGTACTTTACTACAGATGTATACCTTTGCATGGTAAAGGTATGCATATATTTTTTTCAAAAGTAATTGTGTTTGATTTAGACTTTAATGTGTAATCTAAACCAAACACAATTACTTTTGAAAAAACTTATACATATTGTAAAATGTATTTTACAATATTTTCATTGACAAAAGATGTAAGGTATTTATAAACTGAAATATGAAAATGACAGAGAATAAAGGTGATGTTTATATTATATGAAGTGCTTTGTGTGTATTGTGGAACATGTACTGTGGGATTTGAATAATCAGTAAGAAGTTATGTTATTTTCTCTATTGATATATGTTCTGCATTGCTATCTATTTCTAACAGACAACTCAGTTTGAGACATGATAGGTACCCTATTATTATTTGAGGAGTTTCTTTATTTCCCAGGTTGTTGAATGATGCTAATAGAGTAGCCAGAATTTAGAACTTAAAAGAATTAGAGGTTTATCAAGGGGAACTTCCATTTTTGTGTATGTACTTATGGTTTTGATAATACCTTATCAATATTTTATGTTGTTTGACTCTGATTACTAACTCATTAGATCCAGGACATGACAATCATGTCTATAAAAAAAAATGGGTAAGGACCAGGTAACAGGAATATGTCATCATTAAATATTCATCTGGAGGTTGGTGTAACAGGAATGACGTACCACAAGTGGATGAAGAGTAGACTCAATGGGTATTTGGTTAGGGGCCTTTGCTTTACTTCTGCTGGTAAACGAGGGAGGAATGTACCAGCTGTAAGCGATAGATACTATTTCAGTTCTCACGATCCTGTTCCTGCCTGCTATTACAGGAGTCATAGCTCCAAGAAAATTGCAAAAAAACAACTAATAAACACATATGAACAACAACAACAACAACAGATAACATCATTGCAAAGGGGAGGCAAGGAGGCTTGACACACATCTGTTCATGGGCTGGGCTTACAAGCAATGCAACTGGGGGATGTGCCATTCAAGTAACAGTAATGCCTGGATTTTGTACCATGTGCTGGCAGGAGGCAACTGGATCTAACAGGTTAAGCTTTTGAGTTTTCACACTTAGTATTTGAACATGCACAGTTATTAAAATAACTAAATAGTTTGTATTGTTTCAAACTGCTCTTCATTATTGGACTCAAATTACTTGAAGCTAATGAGACCATAATTGAAATGTATAAAATTAAATTTATTCTGGAGGGAGCAGTACTTTACTAAATATTATGAAGTAATTTAAATGTCTAATCATATAATAAGTCTGCTTTGACATTTTACATTGGTATATGACGAAACCATGCTAACCCTTTGCCGACGGGCATGGCATGTACGTACATGCCATGCCCATTGTGAGTTTACTTGTTTAATTGTTTTTAGACATAGGGGGCTACTCTTGTACTAAATCACCAATGAGCCAGTTACAAGTACCACCTGTCTTGCCCGTTCACCCTTTTCATTGATTTACAAAAATATTTAATGTTATCTTGTTTTGTTGTTACAAATGTTTATAACATGAAAATAATAAAAATAACACCATCTATATTTATAGCACTAGTGAAAATATGGTTTTCGTGCCAATTCAAAGAAAGGTGAAATCCTTTATGGCTAAGCACTAGCTGAGCCATCTAGTAACAGGGACATTTCACAAAAATATAAAAAATGAGCACAGACTTTCCCCTATTTTTATTCATTTTCCCCATCGGGAGAGGGTTAACCCCTGAAGGATGGTATTGCTACTGAGATTGTAATTTGTTTTGGCTATTATGTGACAGAAAATAGCTGTTGTTTTGCTGTTTTCTTGTTCTTCTTCTTCTGTTTGTTTATTACACCTGTGGCTGATATTAATTGGAATTGTTGCACACAGTCCAATATGTTAAACAGGGCAAAAGAAGACAAAAACAATTCATACTTTTTTCTTTCTTTCTTTCAATTGTTTATTACAGAGTTTCAAGCTCTGTTTATTTTTACATCCTGTGTACAAACATATCCAGAAGTTGAATAGCTTTAAAGATTTACCTAAAGACCTGTGTGATCTTGGATCCCGGGACACCTCTTGCTTACCTCATGTGATGGCAAACTCTAGTCTGAGAATAACCATTATATGGAAAAATAATGCCATGGAGTTCTGATCCTGTGCCTTTATTCATGCAGTCTTTTATGTTGTAATTCTGAAGGGAGAATGAATAATATAGAACATTTTGCTATTGTATGATGTGTCAAAGTCATATGGATCATTACTGAAACTGAGGGTTGTTCCATGAAAAGTACCTTTATAAAGGGGATATGCATTCACTGTTCACAGTTACATATATATCTTACAATAGAAAACATAAGTGTTTATTCTCTTCAGATGTTCAGCATTCCTTTAGGCCACCGTCTGTGTATATTTGGTGTGTGATGGAAATCATATACAAATTTATGAAAGGTGAATGCAAACTTCAGTAGCACCCCAAGCAAACACTGTCTTTGATAACATCTTTCATTGTCTTCTGTAAGGTTATTAAGGAAGATACAGTATCTGCAATACATTTAGTTTCTATATTGTAGGAAGAGAGTATACTAAACATTATCCTTATTAAAAAAAATCTCAATATTTCTTATAGCAAAGAAATAGCATAGAAAGTCATTGATTATATCTTATGACTCGATTTAACAATTCAATATTTTTGACTTTTCAGCGAGTTATTTGTAGGGCTAAAAGTCGAGAGGAGTCAGAGTAAGCCCGTCTTTGAGCGTCCTCGCCGGAAGCGTTATGACAGGGAGGACCAGCAGAGAATGCAGCAAGGAACCCAGCGGCCTGATGAGTTTGTGCGGCCTACTAGGATGATGTCCAGGTAAGGAGCAGTGGTTAGGCTTTTGTGGACTTCAAAACTGATGTGATGTAACACATAAGTTTTTTTTTATCATTGCTGTTGTTATTGTTATTACTATAATCATCATCTTCATTATTGTTGTGGTAATGATGATGACCTTGTAAATTCATTAGACATTTGTACTAAGTTCCCTTATATGACTGGGCAAAGAATAGCTTTCTTATCATTATAAGTAATAAAGAACACAATACTCTCTTATTTCCCCTGAAATTTTACTACAATCATTTGTTCATCATCCAGGGAGTACATAAAAACTGATATCTTTGGAGGAGAACCCCTGAACATATTCTCTAGCGAAGAGATTAAGGCAGAGAACGTGGAGTCAGCATGCCCAGTGTGGGATGCTACACACCTCCGAGAGATACAGCAGACGGTGGTGCAGCCTCCAAGCAATGCCTTTGTGGAGATGGTTCAGTGGACCAGACAGGGCAAACTGTGGACCTTCCCCATTGACAATGAGATTGGTAAGAGGCAGGCACTTTTACTGTAAGAATTTGAGTTTATTCTCTGTCCATAAAGCTGAACAAGATATGCACAATATATCTATTAGTAGTTAGAGTGGAATCTTATTAAATTTTAGTAATGTTTCACAGAATTATATTTCTTTAGTAATGTTGATATGATTAGTATGGTTATGTCACATAGTTGTCTTTCAGAAGCACGACCATTATAAGTGCTTCATTCCTGATATAGTATCCCTATAGACTCCTAACATGTAGGAAGTAAATAGAATCATAACAACCATAATAAAACCTCCCGTAAGAAGACATAATACATATTATCAAATCTGCTCTTTCTAGGACTAGAGGAGGAGAAGAAAATAGGTTTCCAAGACCACGTGTTCCTGGAGCACCACCTTGAAGGATGGTGTCCCCGGCGTGGTCCCATCAGGCACTTCATGGAGCTCGTGTGCACTGGACTCTCGAAGAACCCGTATCTCACAGTGGAGCGGAAGAAGGCCCACATTATGTGGTACAAGAACTACTTCGAGGAGAAACACGACCTTCTGAAGGAAATCGGTGCTATTGAAGGATGAGGATTGTAGTGGGCTGAAATAGGAGTTTGGGATTGTTGATTATGAAATTCAAGGGTTGACACGTTAATGGAGTTTCAAGTTATAGTTATTAATTTTTTCAAAGACTGAAGTATGTAAAGTTAGGTCTAAATTGGGAAAGCTAGGCTACTATACAACCACTTTTTTTTTGTTATTTTTGGTACAAGTTCATTGGTGATTTTTTATTTTTAATGCTAATATATAAAGTGAAGTGGTTTACATGTATCAGTGTACTGTAGTAAGTTATAGATATTTGTAATAATTATAAAGAGGAAGAAAAATGCCATATATGAATATCAGTACATTTGTTCTAATTGTGTAATTAAAGTGGTTTTGTTTGAATTAATTTATGTATATTATGTAAATAAAGACAAGAATTTATAGATATCTTGTTTGAATTGGATCATTTGTTGAATACTGTTTATATAGAGATTCCTGCTGTTAAAATATTCAAGTTGTATTTTGTATAGGTGTGCATAGGGCTGTTGTTTGAAAAGAAAAGCATATATATATTATATGCAAATCAGACTATAATGATTACCTCAAAGCATAATACTGGAATATTATCAAGTCTGCCTCTCAACTAGCCTCTATAACTGAATATGATACCATTATCAGATGAAATTTTTTATTGTTGTTGTTATTATATTTTAGTGTTTAAAATACTTGTTTGCTTTAGTTATTG